CATTCCACTGTCCTAAGAATCTTCTGTGATCATCTATTCATTCCTCCTTTCTCCCGAACTCGGGCAACCACTGGTCTTTTTAACTGTCTCCATAGTTTTGCCTTCTCGAGAATGTCATGGTTGGTAACATATGGTATGTAGCCCTTTCTGGTTGGCTTTTGTCACTTAGTGATACACGCTTAAGGTTCCTTCATATCTTTTCATGGCTGGACAGCTCATTTCTTTTTAGCATTGAATAATATTCCATTGTCTAGATGTACCACTGACATCTACCTTAAATATTTTGCCCATTTCATTTTTACCCTCTAACCATTTCATTACTAAAACACAAAACAAACTCTGGAAAGGAGTTTGTTGATGAGAACACACTGAAAGTAAGATTTAAATTGAGGAATGGAGATTTTCTGTGGATAATTATCTGTGTTCCACTTTACCAAAGAAAACATGAATTTCAAGTAGTGCATAAAGTAATTCTCCTTAAAAAATGTGGGAATAAAGAAATCAGTCCTGGGTACTGGGAATATAGTTATCTCTCAGAAAAATCTTGCCCACAAAATGCATCAGACTGAGATGAAATACTCTAGGGTATATTAAATTTTATTCTAATACTGAAGGGAGAAAAAAAAGGAAGGAAAGAAAATGAAGCAGGATAAAAAATAAGGTGATTGAGAGAGAGAAAAGACAGAGAAACTTGTTAACTACAGGACTTTCTGAGCAAGATATTTTTCTTCCTTTTACAAGTTAGAAGCTATTGAATAATTCATGCCAAGCGTGGAAAGGCTGTCTTTTCCCTGGGTGATGTATAACTAAGCAGGAGAGAGCTTCGAGTGGGTTCACCACATCAGCCACCACTCTTGCCTCTGAGCACAGGGTGCTCTCCTCTTGAGCTCAGCTTCTGCTTTTGCAGCCAAGCATTCTTGCTGCTGCTGCCTGCCTGCCCACCCGCCTGGGCTTGCAGCCCGCCACTTTACTTTCTCCAGCCCTGATACCAGCTGAAAGTCTCCCTGCAGCTGCTAGTTCCTGTCCAGGACCATGTGTGTGGATGCTGCTTGGGAGAAGTGGGCACTTGCTCCTGGCACTGATTCCAGTTGAGTTTCTCCTGTTGATTTCTGGACCACTGATGCTGTTGCTGAGGAGGTATTTTCTGGCATCCCTCCCTCTGAGACACCGGCTAAGGACCAGCCCAAACGCAAGGTACCCTTCATCTCTTTTCCATGGGATTTTCCCCAGCTGGGATATCTCTGCTTTCTCCTGGAACTAGGTCCTCCTGCTGGCAATATTTCTCTCTCTCTCTCTCTCTTTCTCTCTCTCTCTCTCTCTCTGTGTGTGTGTGTGTGTGTGTGTATGTGTGTGTGTTGAGGGAGAACAGGAGACTGTTTTGGGTATTGCTCTGTCCTAGGGCTTCCCCAATGCCTCCTGAATGCAATGCAAAGTGGCCTTTCCCCTGGCTCTGGAGACATTTCTGAGGCAGGCACCTGTCATCTGCCACCCCCGTCCTCCTCGAGCTCCCTTTCTCCCCCTCCCCCAGCCCATTATTCTGCTTCAGCCTTTTGTGTCGGTGGCAGAGGGCTGAAGGGTTGTCTTTGCCCTTCTGGCAGGCAGGAAAGTGTCAGGATGGACCGAGCTGCCGGAAGCCGACGCTAGCGAGGGAGGTGTGAAGAGTTGGCCAGAATGACCAACTCCTCCTCCACATCCACCTCCTCCACCACCGGGGGCTCGCTGCTGCTGCTCTGCGAGGAAGAGGAGTCGTGGGCGGGCCGGCGCATCCCAGTGTCACTCCTGTATTCCGGCCTGGCCATCGGGGGCACGCTGGCCAACGGCATGGTCATCTATCTCGTGTCGTCCTTCCGAAAGCTGCAGACCACCAGCAACGCCTTCATCGTGAACGGCTGCGCCGCCGACCTCAGCGTCTGCGCAGAGGAGAAATGCTAAATTCATGAAAAGGGATTCACAGACAGTTTTAACAGAAAGGGCCTTTGAAGTAATTGACTGGGATCTTATTTGACAGGATGAAAATAATCAATCACAAGGCTACCTGACGGATGCTCAGCTTAGTATCTGGGTGCACTGCAACCCCACCTAACATTTTTTTCTATTATGCCATGTAACCATATTCCCATATTGAGTTACATTTTCAAATACATGACTTTTCCAGTGAATAATTGAGAGAATTCTTTTTCTGAAAAACTGCCCACATGGAATGGATAAATGAGCACTTGCACCAAAGAAGATGCCAACATCAGACTGCAAATCTCTAAGACAGACTTAAGACAAAAAGTTCTGAAGTGAAAAGTTATCTTTGTTCACACTGTGGATTATTCAGGTTTCTTGCTTTCCCCTGAGACACATTTTTAAAAACTGACTTTATTTTTTAGAGCAATTTTAGATTCATGGCAAATTTGAGTGAAAGATACAGAGATTTCCCGTGTACTCCCTGACCCTCACATACATAGCCTCTCCCATTATCAAAATCCCCCACCAGAGTGGTTCATCTGTTACAATTGAATGTACACTGACACATCATTCCCCAAAGTCCATAGCTTACACTGCTGTTTCACGTTCTACCACTTTGGACAAATTTATGAGGACACAGATCCACTATTATGGTATCATATAGAGCATTCCACTGTCCTAAGAATCTTCTGTGATCATCTATTCATTCCTCCTTTCTCCCGAACTCGGGCAACCACTGGTCTTTTTAACTGTCTCCATAGTTTTGCCTTCTCGAGAATGTCATGGTTGGTAACATATGGTATGTAGCCCTTTCTGGTTGGCTTTTGTCACTTAGTGATACACGCTTAAGGTTCCTTCATATCTTTTCATGGCTGGACAGCTCATTTCTTTTTAGCATTGAATAATATTCCATTGT